CTCTTACGCATTGGCCTCGCAGCCTAATTCGTTAGGCGCATATCAATGCAACATAAACAATTTCGGACTAGGCCCACTCTGGTCTTCTCCGAGAGGTGCAAGTTGCGACACTCTTTGGTGTATAATGTTCGCCGGTTTTTCTTAGGTGGGTGGTTCGATCGGAACAGAGCCTTTCGCATCTTGTAGTCTGACTCCCCATTGGTACCATTACCAAAAATATTTTCATTTTTTAATTCCAAAGGATTATTTTTTCTATGCATGTCCGCCGGTTTTTCCTAGGTGGGTGGTCCGATCGGAATAAAGCCTTTAGCATCTTGTAGAGTCTGACTCCCCATTGGTACCATTACCAAAAATTTTTTCATTTTTTAGTTGCAAAGGATTATTGTTGCAAACAAAATTGAAAAACGAATATTCATGTTGTCCTTTACTTAATTATGTTCGGCTGTCCAAAGGTTGACATGTTCAAGAAAATCTTTTAATTTTGCGCCGCCTCCGAAAAGGTTGAAATGACCTAACGAGTAAATAGGTTTCATTCATATCTGTGACATAATTGTATGATTGAATGAAATAGAAATTATTTTATACTTTTTCGTGCATTTCGAAGTCGGTGTATTTTTTTTCTTAAAATTATTTTATTCTTTTAATTGGATGTTTGCCTTCAACCTTATATTTTAAAGATACCCTTGGAACACTAAATTTCCTAGCTGCCATATAATTTCTGAAGTTACCCTTCGTAGAAGGCATCTCAAAATTGACAGAGGAACAAAATCAGTAGTTGACACGTAATAATTTACCTAGACACCCCATGTCAACTACTGAATAATAGAACATTACAAGTTTCAGTAGTTAACACGGAGTGTATTTAGACAATTTAGCATTGTTTGTTGCCAATTTTAATAGATAAACCTCTTTCTAAGTTTCAAACAACATAAAGGAATGCCTTTTTTATTCACAATGATTAAATAATACAAACTTGCAATACTTACATTTTAACTAAATCCTTAGCGATTTATATAAAAAAAAAAACACTGAAAAATCGTAAGAACCGTACGCAAGTTTGATTAATCTGTTGCTATTACATTTTGAATGGCGGATATGCACAATAGTTCGCAGTTAAGCCACTGAAGCGTGACAGTATACAGATTAATAAGGTTTGATGTATTCCAACTTGTGGTTTCCTTATTTATTTACTTTTTTTGAAAAAGTGTCAAGTACTGGTACAGTGTCAACCACTGGTGTCCCTATCTTAATAAGTCAATTTTCTTTTACATAATTTACATACATACTATTCTATATAATTACATAATTTCATAAACTATGCATTAATATTTAAGGAATGCGAACCATAATTTCCTTTTCAAAAGCCTAAATCATTGAAAATACGAAGGGTTGATATATTCATACTGTTCTATACTGTTCTCATATGAGTTACTAAGAAACCTCTATCATTTCTTAATCAAGTGTTATTAATAATGCATGGTACTTTTATATATATTTTTAGATTTACGATATACTGTACCATTATTTTATTAAATTCTTAATCATGTAGGAAATCAATCAATGAAATTTTATTTAACTTCGTTGTACAATCAACTGTTTCGTTACGATGCTATTTTCTGACTGCAGAAAAATCTCGAATAACATTGACTCTTTTACGGCTCGTTCCGTCAAGTAACTTTTTAACGATTTTCAGACAAACTCAATAGTAGTATACCCAGTGTCGTAAATTTAAGTATTACATGCGTCCTCAATTGCACACAGTCAAACCATTCACATTCTACAACCGTAAAATAAACACGCTTTATCGTGTAATTGTAAAATTATTCAATATAATTGAAATTATTTTAATACTCTTTGTATAGCTTAAATAACCAAGTATTTCGTCTTGCAGATAATATTAATGAAGCTGAGAATACTAGAGAAAGCATGAAGTACTTACGAATAGCACAGAAGTTAAAATATCCTCCTTTATTTCTACAGAGAAATACGATCCTCATGAACTGTCGCGTACTTGCGAGATCAAACAAATTTCTTGAAGCGCAGAAATTACAAAAGCAAACGTAGAAATGGACACCGATAATTTACGACTTTCCTCTGAACAGCTGGAAATTTTCAACGTTTCTGTTTTCCAGCAAGTAACTTTCAAGCAATGAAAGATGGTCCTGCTCTTAGGAACTGAAGTGATCACGAGGCGCTTGGGAAATCACGAAAACAATTCGCGCTATTCGGAGTAAAATGGATCGTCTACGAAGCAACGAATGCTTTGTATCGCGTTGTCATTGTACGATAAGTTGGAGCGCAGGATTGTCAATGGTTCCGAAAATCTCCCGCAGAAAGCACTACGTTATTGTTCGTAAATAACTGCTTTCGACGAGAGACGCCTTTTACTAGAAATCACTTGTGAAATTTGCCGATAAGCGATCATGTTCGTTCAACTCCACTCTCAATATTTTTTTTCCCCGATCGATTTCCTTTGTACTAATCAGACCTTCGAGATTTAACCCCTTGCGTTACGATTTGATTTTCAACTGTGCGTGCCATAAATAACAAGATCGTTTTGTTTCTGTTTGGCCCGGTCAGTACATCACGTTTCGGACATGTCTTGTTCATATTTGGCTCATTGTTAGTCGCGGCAAAGGTCTACGTTCACATCTGAACATATTGTGCTTAAGTATATGTTACTTATTTAACAAACAAATATTGTATCGATTTTATCAGTATATTTCATGATAAATGATATCAGTAAATAAATGGTATTAGGTAATCTATCTAATTTAACAACGAGAACTTGTATAGGGCTTTCATTGCTGCCACCTAAAAGTTCGCAAAAATGCTTTCGTCGAATGTCTACATATGTGTTGCAATTTATAAAATACAATAAACAAGATTACTCTCCACATCAATATCGATTAAATGATTTCAGTAATATTGTCGTATTTCTCTACATATCGTCGAATGTTATGGGTAATATTTTAGGTAACTGCTGAGAAAATTGCAAACATTTTGTACATTTTTTTTCAGATCGATTCTACAAATATATCTGTCCGCAAGTTATTACGTTAGCTCGACGATAGCGAAACAATTCAATGAAATCATAAATTGAAAATCAAACACAGTCTTTCAACTTGAATCAATGTGCTGCGAAATGAACAGAAAAACAAACTGAAAATTAATACAGTTTATAATCGAAACTGCCTACCAGAATCAAAAACGTTTGAGAAACGGAGAACAAAATACGGAATCAAACAACAAAGTAACGAGCTTTTTAACGTTTCGAAGAATTTACACTGATTTACCGTGGTGTTTCGAGTCAATATTTACATTCTATATCTAAACGACGAATTATACATAAGAGAAATAATACATAAGCAGAAAAAAATGTCAACCGATTTCTAGACCGTCGAATTAACTTCTATGACAAACGAAATGAATTCAAGCACGCGAAAGAGATCTTCTTCCGCATAAGTGCACCATTTCGATGCAACAAGCATTCAGGAATTACACGGGAAAAAGAAAGGAAATAGGAAAACAATCTTCCTGCCGGTAATCCTGTTCCGCCGTCTCATGACAAGGAAAGCACTCACTGAAAACGGCATCGCAGTGAAATCAAGATTTTTCCGGCGGTTTGTATTCCAGCGAAGATTTATCAAGCAAAACGGAGACCGCGACAAAGGAGCGCAATTAAAAAGATTACATTCGCTATCACGCATTCCCTTTCTAAAACAAATAGAAATGAGAAACGTGAGAGCTGCACTCGAGAACCTTCTGTCCACATCAAACGCTTAAAATTGTCGTATGAAATTATTCCATAAAACTGCAATTTATCAACGAAAACGAAGCATTTAATGAAATACATTTTGCGATCAAACGTGGTACTCGAAAAAGTAATTTTGAAGTGATTCATACACAGTTACAAAGTTATCAAGATTAGAATAAACGAAACAGACGGCCTATATCTATATCGACGTTTACATGCCTCGAGTCGACCTAGCGGAACGTACTAAGCGTAAAAACGCGATCCGCGTTCAAGGGAGAATCTAGGTTTCCAAGGGTTAGTTGTCCGGTAAATCGTCACGGTGTGCGGATTGGGGCGAATCCTCGGCTACATCGGCGGACGACCGTCGGTGGGGGCCGCCAGCATGTCACAGTCCGGCTCTGGAGGGGTGGACGATAATCAGGAACAGAGTCAGGTCGGTCAAACGATGGAGAATCAACAGACAACGTGTCAGAACGGACGGGCTGAACCGCCAGCCGATAATGCCAAACAAGATTTGTCTAATGGCTTTGAGAATCGGACTATCGAGTACGACAGGTTCACTCAAGACAGATCTCAGCAGAATCCGTCGACCGGTCAGAACCAAGAACAACAACAACAGCAACAGCAAACTCAGCAGACTGGTCAATATCCGACTGGAAGGAAGCAATCTGTGGCTGGGGTCCCTGAAGACAGACATCCCCCGACAGGACAACTTCCTCCACAACAGTACCCTCAAGAAAAAACCACTCTCGAGAGAGCGCAGCACGTCTCTCAAACTAGCACTCAAACTTTGCCTGTCCAGGCGCAGCCACAGTTCGTGCCTGATTACGATCAGACCCAGTACACGCAGATCCGAAGTCAGTTCGAGGTGAGGCCGCAAATGTACCCTCAGCAGACGCAATACGCTGAAAGAGCCGGTTACGTGACCAGAGACGTCACGTACAGAGATCAAGCGTTGTATCAAGGAGGGACGGCTAACCCCGTGTTCACTGGTCAAGGTCAGTACGTAACAGTGCAACACGGGTCGCAGATGCCCTCCCAGTCGGCCAGTCCTCAACCACCATATTTCTCAGGCGTAGTAGTGCCCCAACCGCCAGGCTACGTGCAGTTCGGCACCCAACCGCAATACTCCTACAGCCAATATCCCCAAACTGTGATGAACGCAGTTCCGTATAATCCTCACGCGGGCATTTACCCAGCTCAACAGTTTGGTCAGCAGTCACCGAATCCTCAGAGATTTTCTCAGGAGTTGGGTCAGTACCAGACTCAGCCGATCATTCAGCCGATTGCTCAGAACGTCGGTCACGGAATGGCGATGGCGACGACCGAACGACCCAGTCGCGGGCCAAAACCTATGGTACCGCCGAGGGGGAACTCGAAGATCACCCACGACACTGGGCACCGAAAGTCGGCGAGTGTAGACGTGCCCGGCATGCAGAAACCCAAGTACGATCCTAATCAGAATCTGCCGCAAGAACAAATTCATCGTAGTGACGGAGCAATCATTGTTCAGGGGACGCAGATCGTTTCCGACGGCCAAGATCGGAGATATCTAACGACTATTAATCAAAATCCCAGGACAAGACAGGATGGGTTGTATGTGGACACAAATGGAGATCCTCCTGGCCGAGAGAAAATGTGCGAAGCAGTGGGCACAGATTGCGGACTCTATGTAACGAGACCTGAACATAGGAAGTCTATATCGGTGGACGTTACGTCTAGTTTTCCGCGACGGAATGACACAATTACTTTCACGTTTCCCGGTGACACTAGTCAAGAAATATTAATGCCGGTCAGAAAGACCGGAACCATGGTGGATCCGAAACGAGCCGAAGCCAATCAAGTGTACCCGCCTGATCAAAGGCGGTTGGATACGAGCTTGAGAGTATCGCCGATGGCTTTTGATACGAGACAAGAAAATAGGAAAAGTATGGGAGCTGACAGAAAGCCCGAATGGGGCAACGTGAGCCCTAATCAAAGAGTCGCGATGCCGCAAGAAAACAGACGATCTGATTACTTCGAGGAGCATAGAAGATCGCCTATGACTATAGAGGGCAAGAGAATGGAGGACGTAAGGAGATCGCCGATGCCGTTCATGCCGATCAGGGAAGGTTCCGTGGATCGTGCCGGACAAAAGAGTCCGTCGTTCGTAAACCAGAATTTCGAGAAGACCAGACAAGAGCTCGCAATATGGGCCGAGCAGAAGCAACGGCAGGAACACGAGAGAAGCATGATGCAGAACCAACTGCTTTCGACTAGTCCACGTTCCCGCAATCATTCCGAAGAGAGAAGAGATCAGAGACCCTTGCACCAGCAGGACGAACGTAAGGAGACCAGAATGACCCAATCAGCCTTCCAACCGATTCCAAATATCAGTCAGAGCACGATAATGGAACAGAGACGCCATTTGCGACACGTAAGCGCGGATCTAACGAAGCACATGGAGCTATCCAGGAAGGAATTCGATGATCAACCAATTAGCGGTTCGGTAGCTAATCTTGGTCCACCAGTCAGCACAGTTTCGTCCCAAAGAGCCAGTCCTAACATATGTCACCAGTATCCAGCTCTCAGCGAGGCAAAGTTAGATACCAAAACTGTATTAACAGTGGTCACAGATTTTGGCGAGAGTAGCCTTAACAAACCGATAGATCAGGTCGATCATATAATTCACAGTCACCGTAAAAGTCACAACGTCTCGAACAATTTGCTGACCCATAGCAAGAGTCAGACAGACAATCTTCAGAGTCAGCTCGACGCACAAAACGAGAAATCCGATACTCTCCAGGCGCAGCAACAACAACTGCAAAACCAACAGAGCCTCGATTTGATTTCCGAGAAGCTCAGCCAATTCGAACGTCAACAGAGCGATCTTCAGGCGAAACTACAATGCCTACATAATCAGAACCAGATCCTTGATAAGGTGGCCCAGTTCCAGCATCAGCAGAGTGACTTACAGGCCCGTCTACAGAGCCTACAGACGCAGAACCAGTTGTGCGATAAACTGCAAAGATCCACGGATTTCCAGCAACACACGGCCGGAAACGAGATTCATCAGATCCAATCGAATTCTCTGTCCAACCACCAGGAATCGATGTGCGATAAGACTTGCTCGTCTTCGCAAACCCAGCACGCGTCGCATAGTCATCATCAAACGTTATTGACCGCCGCCTATGCACAGAACTCTAATCATCAATCCTGCCAATCGTCTGTCTGCGAGAAACTATCGCCTAGGCTTCAACACGACACCAGCGACCCGAATTCTATTCAGATACCGAACATGTCACAGATGCCATTGCCCTGTCTCCCGCAATTCGACCGTACCGACGCGTCACGTGCTTCGTTCTCGCAGTTTCATCGGCTTCAATGTCAGATTGAAGGACACGAGGCAGCACCCACCGCATCGTTCACGGGCACCCTGAAGAAAGTACCTCCCGAAAAGCCACCGAGAACTTCGCTCATTGTACAATCGCCCGAATCCGAGGTAAGAGATGTATGTATATTTTCATGTATGTGTTATGAGCATCTGGTAAGTTGGCTAAATGTAAATCCTATTATCTCGTATATGAACTTACCGGACGTGTACGTTTATATTAGAAATTTGGTGTCTTTTCTTCTGCATGATCGTAGCAGCATGTGTGCTTATTTTACTATTAGGAAATTAAACTCAAGGTCATATATTGCGCATCTGAATCGACCTTTTTTGAGTAGACCATTTTGCACTGTCAATTAATTTTAGCCATCTTATGAAAAAAAAATTAGCTTTCACGTAAATTTGTAATATTGTAGCACCTTTTTTCATTGAACCCTTCAATTGTTTAGGGGATGTTTAGGTTCACGACATTAATTTTATAAGAGCAAGTATAGCCTGTGACAGTTATGGGCTAATTGTCGGTGCATTCTATAGTACCAAGGCCTTCCCTAGGGAAAATAGCAACGTAGGAAGAAAGCTCTAACACTCGCTATATTCTAAAGTTACCTGTATTATTCGTAGTTTATGGCAGACATTTTCATACTTGACAGGCAACGACATTTTCCCGAGTAAACGTATACATGCGAATAGTGGAACCTCCTTTCGATACGTTAACGTTTTCCCTACGGAACTCTACTTTAGCGACTGTGCAATAGATTTGTGTTACATTACCTTTATTTACTGTTATTTATTGCAAAGATTTTCATATTTAGCGGGGCACCTTCATAATTGTACAGACGTAGAAATTTAAAATATACGAATTTTAAAAATTAGATAATTGTCAAATTTTCAAACTTCTCAAATTAAAAAATTTTTTTTTTAAATTTATGGTCAAAATACTGCTAACAACTACATTTTAAATTCCTTAATTAAAAAATTTACTATTCCTATATTTTTAAATATCATAATCTTCAACTTCTTTACTTGAAAATTTGTAAATTTGAAGTTTCTGAGTTCTCAAAGTTATAAATTTGAAATTTTTAAATAAGCGTCTAAAGTTGGGAATTTTAAATTTCTAAATTTAAAAATTTAAGAACTGAAAACTTCAAAATTAGGAAGTTTAAAAGTTTGTGCATTTGCAAATGTACAAAATTGAAATTTCTAAATAAGCTCCTAAAGTTGGGAATTTGAAATTTCCAAATTAAAAAATTCAAGAACTGAAAACTTCAAAATTAGAAAGTTTAAAAGTTTGTAAATTTACAAATGTGCTAAATATACATTTCTAAATCCCCAATACACCAACGCAGAACTCAATTTTCATTTGAATCAAAACAAAACAATTTTTCACTGATCAGAATAAAATACCTTCGAAATACTAAAACTGTACAACTTCAAACAAAGTATCTTTACTATAACAGAAACGTAATATATTGTATCGTAACCCTTTGTTTCATGAGTTCTATAAAACAGGTTCGTTTCATCTCGAATGTATACTCAGTTTTAAATAAAGAGGAAATGAGCCAACTGCTAAAAAACAAACGCAAGATCTGCAATAAGAAACAGTCGGCTGATCAAAGCACACTGTCGTTTTCCGATAATTCTTTATAAAATTAAAATCCACGAACCTTGGACAGGGAGTACACGGCTCTTTCGTGTTTTCCCGACTGCTTACCGGGAAGGGGTGAAGGGTGCGAGGCGAAGATAGAAGGGTGACTCGAGCAGAAAGGGTGGCAGATAGAGATCTCCACTTGCAGTTTTTGCCGTGGCAGCTGAGTGGAATGAACTCGTTAGATATCAGACTCGATGTTGTCTTTGAAAACTTCGTTACGAAGACTGTGTACCTTTCACTCTACTTCCATGCTCGGTCTTTTCGTTCGGGCAACTTTGTTCGTGCTAGAAAACTACGATGACGCCCGTCGTCGGGACGACGTCACCTCGACGCTACGTGCTCACGTTCCGAATGCTGAATTCCCAGATTTCGTGACTGTAGAAGAGCTTTTTGTTAGAGTCTCTTTGAAAGCAATATGAGCAGAGAAATACATGTGATCCTCATTTAGTAAATGTAACATTTGATCAATTTTAACTGATATTTGATCTAAAATAATGAAACACAAATTAGAATTATCAGTTGAGTAGAAGATGATTAACATCTTCAAGGATAATTTTTTGGCGTAATTATGCAAATAAATCATTACAAAAATTGTTAATACATATATAAAAATAATTGTAATATCGACATGTGCGAACTTTGGTTGATGAATTTAAAAAGAAACTAACGATCACACGTATTATGCTGAAAATTGATGAAATAGTCGGGCCATATATGTATGATATACATATTTACCACTTTTATCTTGTAATTTGTTGGTATACATGATTGATACGATATTAAAACCGTTCAGTTATTGAAATAACACTTGTCTAGTTCAAACTGACGTCAATATTTCATAAAAAATAACGGAATACAAATTTGGAACTGCTAGTTGATGCGAAAATGTTCCAAAAAATGGTATAAATCTATTATTGCAAATTAAAAATAAATTACTACATGTACATGTATGTCTAAAACAAATGATGAATGAAAATAATTTTCCAAAATTGTCCAAAATTATCTTCAGATTATCGCAAAGCATCCCGAAATATAACAATTCTTTGTGCTAAAATTATACGACCCAAAATACAAATAAAAATCCGTAGAAATTGGTGAAATAATTAAATATTTCGATAAATTCAATCAAGATTATTTGGTCCATGGTTTCATACATGCAAATAAATCATTACAAAAATTGTTAATACATATATAAAAATAATTGTAATATCGACATGTGCGAACTTTGGTTGATGAATTTAAAAAGAAACTAACGATCACACGTATTATGCTGAAAATTGATGAAATAGTCGGGCCATATATGTATGATATACATATTTACCACTTTTATCTTGTAATTTGTTGGTATACATGATTGATACGATATTAAAACCGTTCAGTTATTGAAATAACACTTGTCTAGTTCAAACTGACGTCAATATTTCATAAAAAATAACGGAATACAAATTTGGAACTGCTAGTTGATGCGAAAATGTTCCAAAAAATGGTATAAATCTATTATTGCAAATTAAAAATAAATTACTACATGTACATGTATGTCTAAAACAAATGATGAATGAAAATAATTTTCCAAAATTGTCCAAAATTATCTTCAGATTATCGCAAAGCATCCCGAAATATAACAATTCTTTGTGCTAAAATTATACGACCCAAAATACAAATAAAAATCCGTAGAAATTGGTGAAATAATTAAATATTTCGATAAATTCAATCAAGATTATTTGGTCCATGGTTTCATACACACAAGGGAACATATCCAACTCCGACACGCCGATTTTGATGAAACTTATGTGAGATATAGTTCTCAAAAAAATATTTGACACGTATTTTTTTTATCGGCAATTGTGCATATTGAAGGGGTGAAAATAACCCTCGAAGTTGGGGGTGGAAATCATATTTTTAGGAATATTTCCGGAATTAAAGAAGATAATTGGATTCTTTTTTTGTAAATTGTTGGTCTTTTAATAGGCAATTTTTGTGCGAAAAAAAAGTTCAATAAACTTTATTTGTTTAAATAATATTTTGAAAATTTATAATTTTTGTTTAAATTTTTGCACTAAATGTGGATCTATTTTTTTGCAACTTCGTGTACGTAAACTATGGACAAAAATAGAGGATAACCGCGTCACGCTCATACCTGTGACGCTTACAATAATTATTCAGAAATCATTTAACGGCATATGAAGACGTATAAAATGTCTAAAATATTGTAAAAGATTGTAAAAATAATGATATTTTTAATAAAAATGCTGATTGCCCCTCTTCACAGGAGGTGATGTTAAATTATATATCTAATAAACATTGCAACAAACAACAAATTCGTTTACGTACACGAAGTTGCAAAAAAATAGATCAACATTTAGTATAAAAATTTAAACAAAAAGTATAAATTTTCAAAGTATTATTTAAACAAATAATGTTTATTGAAATATTTAAACAAATAAAGTTTATTGAACTTTTTTTTCGCACAAAAATTGCCTATTAAAAGACCAACAATTTACAAAAAAAGAATCCAATTATCTTCTTTAATTCCGGAAATATTCCCAATAATATGATTTCCACCCCCAACTTCGAGGGTTATTTTCACCCCTTCAATATGCACAATTGCCGATAAAAAAAATACGTGTCAAATATTTTTTTGAGAACTATATCTCACATAAGTTTCATCAAAATCGGCGTGTCGGAGTTGGATATGTTCCCTTGTCAGAAACAATTGAAAATACATAAAATCTGATCTCGAAGTCTGTGGACATGTAACAATCCCCTCTCATTAAAAAAAATATTTGCCCTTCACTTTCTACATCCACCAAGTTCCTCGTTTCAAGAAAAATTTCCTCCAACCACTGTGCCAAAGTCAAATATCCTCAACCAACTATGGTAGCCTACGATGGAACGATATTATCTTAACCATCGTTGACACAGACATTTTCATTCTTCCCCAATATTTCATATAGGTAGCAGCTACGTATAGAGCCTTATAAGAATGTAAATAACCTGTTTCTCAAAGTCGTATACTCCAGTTCATAAATCATGATACATCCATTTTGGAATAAACTTGGATTATACTTCGGCTTTAGGTATTTACTTTACATACTGTATTTACACAGTAACTGTCTGTTTTTCTTTTCTTTCTTTGAGTGCAAATATAGTTTAATATGTCTTTACTGGACAGGGATTCTCACATATTTTTCACTTGAGATTTGTTTTTAAAAGAAGTCATTTTTCGAGAACCATGCAATTGTAATTTAAACTGAAATTTTATAAGAATTCAAACTTCTAAAATTTTAAAGTATTCAAGTATCAAGGTTTCAATTTTTTAAATTGACGAAATTCAGAAATTTGAAAGTCACAAAGTTTCGAGAATTGAAATGTTCCAAAATTCCAAAATTCCAAAAATTCTGTGATAATCATGTACCAAACTTCCATATTTCTAAAACCATAGAATTTCGAACTTCCAATGCGC